TAGGAGGCAGGTTGAGTGATGAAGATCTCGTTGCGGAGCTTTTGGTTTGTTTTGAGCTGGAGTCTGCTGGAACGTGGCAGCCGTTGATGAGGATACCGCTGGGAATACTGCCGTTGTGACTATCAGCTCCCAGCACACGCGCAAGCTCTACAAGCGTTTTCCGGAGATACTGATTGTTGACTGCACTCACAAGACGAACAGGTGCGTTAATCTCAGTATCATGTTTCGACTAGATTTCACCATTATTTCACTATGAATTCATTCTCATTATGTTTGTTATGTTTGACCATGTTTTCTGTGATTTAAAACTACAGATACAACTACCAGTTGTGCACGTTAATGGTGATGGATCAGTTTGGCCACGGCCAGGCAGTGCAACATTTCGTTCTGGAACGCAATGCCGATTGGCACATGGACAAAGCTGTAGAGCAGTTTCAGTTAGCCAACGACTGGGAGCGGACGAAGGTCATAATGGTGGATAAGGACCTGACAGAAATTGGAGGCGAGCCAAGTTTCCTGGAGCCCGAATTTTATTGTGCCAGTTTCATGTATTGAAGTGGCTGCGTGGCGTAGTGCGTGACGACAAGAAATACGACACGTACCGGAGTGGAATTCTCAAACAGATGGACCACTGCGTTTCAAACATGGTATATACCAAATCTGAAGATGAATTTGATCAACACGCGACTGAGTTCAAGCATCTTGCGTGTCGGGAAAACCGTGATTCTCTGTGGAACTACTTTGACAAGAACTGGGTTGCCTGTAAGGACATGTGGGTTACTGTATACCGTATGAATCTACCGCACTTCCGCAACAATACCAATAACAGGTTGGAAAGTTTCTTCGGGAAGCTAAAAGCCGATCTGGATAGCTCAATGTCCATGCGGGAGTGCCTGGAGGCAACAATTCGCGACCAACGTCCAAAAGAAGACGAATATGTAACCCGAGTCGTCATGCCTGGAACTCGTCGCGACCTGACGTACGATGATGAGATGAACCAACTTTTTGATATGACGAGTGAATGGTTAGCAGATGTGTTCGAGCCAGAGTACAAGTTTGCAGTGAATCCTGAGTCTGCGAAGATGTATAATATCGACGATGAAGACCTCTATGTCAACTTTGTTCGGGACGGACAAGTATCGCGTCGACAAATACAACTGGATGTGTACCTGTGAATTTTCGTCGAGAATGAATCTCCCTTGCAGACATGGAATGATCTACCGCAAACACGTTGCCCGCATGCTTACCATCCCGTATTCATCGATCCCCGTCAGATATAATGTTATGAATTCCATGTTTTGATCATGTTTCCTATGTACTGACCATGTTTTGCTACCATTTTATCCCATGTTTCGGACATGATTTGGCTATGTTTTCGTAATGCAGGTGGTTGAGAGTCGGATCGTTAGATGAGGAAATCGCTGCGGTGGACGTTCCACTGCGTATCTCATCTACCAGTGTTCACGAAAGACGAAAGAAGCGCATGACTGGGCGTGATAAGTTGAAGGCAGCTCAGAGCGTGTTCAGCCGATTAAGCACGGAACTGACGGACCTACCTGACGACAAGTTTGTCGCCGTGCTTGATAACTTGGAGAGATGACGGAACCGCTTGCGACTTGGAGATGTTGCGATGGAACCTCAGACAGTTCCGAAAAATCGGACGAGGACATGGCTCCTACGGATATTGCTGCTTCGGGTACTGCCGCTGAAGCGAAGGAGAAACTTGAAAATGTGCACGGGGATACGACAGCAGTGAGAACGAGTGCGAAAACCTAGAGAAGGCGGAAGGAAAGAAAGTGAACATGAAGCCGTTTACCCCAAGAGCTCGTGTGGGGCGACCTCGCAAGGATAGAGCAGCGGAGGCAGCTCAACGCAGACAATCCCGGAAGGAATATAGCCATGGTTCGAAACTGAGAGGAGCTTTGAGGGGTGACGATGTGACTGAAGTTGTAGAATTTATAAAGTCCTGTGAGCCTCCCCTAAGTGACTTGTCGTCATTTTTGACTACGTTTGAGGTACGCCACCTCCAAACTAACCCAAAGGAATTGTCAGTGGTATGGCGAGTACCAGAGCCAAATGTCATTCCCTATTGACTACCTGAAGGTGTTGTTCGCGAGGAGCTCCGTTTAATCGAGTTGAAACGACCATTTGGAGAACCTGTCGATTTGTGTACACCTGTGGATACGAATGCTGAGTGCTGGGTGATGTAGTGTAGTGATTTCTAAGTAATCGCTGAAGTGGCTAC